ATGAAGCAAAATAAAAACAAAAGGTAAAGAAAACAGAAAAAAAAAAATGAATAAAAAAGCAAGAGGAAAACACACACACACAAAAAAAGTAGCAAGTAAAGCCAAAACAAGCAAACAAGCAAACTATTTACATAGCAACAGCGCGCGTAGAAATCATCATTTGGCAAAGCCATCCTATCGAACTGACGCAATAGGAATATACCTCTCCTCCTCCTTTTAGATATACAGATACCACACTGCAACCGCATTCCTTCAACCTATAAAGCAAATCCCTTCTCTAGGCTGCTATTTATATAACACTTGAGAGATGTGCTTCTTGTGAACCACAGTCAAGGATCTTATCACTTACCAGGTGAGTTGATTGACTTACTGACCAAACTCTGTCATTGTCTTGCTTGAGCCTTGTCGTCAGTGTATACAGAGACAAATGAATCCGCAGACCCGGCAGCAAGGAGAACCTGGTATGGGTGAAACGTGAGGCTGCTCACTGACCCGATTTTCTGGGCCATGAATGATGGGTAGTACCGTATGATTCCGAGCTGTTCACCCTGCAGGCTGAAAACCTTGATGAGTTGTCTCGCAGAACCGCTTGCAATGATAGGGGCATGTCTGTGAACAGCCAAGGCTGTGAGTGAGCCCCTGTGGGCATCAATTGTGAGGTAAGCGTCTCTCGTTGTTCGGAGATCAAGAAACCGGATATCGCCAGCCTGTGATGCGCTCACAATCTGTAACCGGAAACAAAATGAGGAACTGCCCAGACACATCAACTAAAGAGTGGGATTTGCGACAAGATACAGGGTCTTGTTTAATAAACCTTTGCAGGATCCAGCCCAGGCTGAAAGCTGATTCCAACAACCTTTTCAGCTCTCTGATGAGGCCGCACAGAGCACGCAAGCCTACAGAAATAAATAAATAAATCTTACATCTACCAACACAAGCCAAGTGAAATGAGTGATGACTTCAACTGAACCTATCTCATCAGAGGTTTGTTGCTCAATGATATCTCCAATAATTCAGAGAATGCACCAAAGTACTGTGTGTGTATATCTCAAGAACAGTCTCAATGCATCACACATGGAAGAGAATCGTAGACAAGCTATATAAAATCCGGTTTATGGATAATATTGCCATTACAATTGTTATTTTTGGTAATGTTCTTGTGCAATTTGGGGATTGATTTGGAAGGAACAATGGGGGCTTGAAGTTTGTTCCCTTAGAAAATTAAATAAACTTTATAAGCTATACTTACATATCAGGTGTCCGAACATCATAAAGTCTCACAGATCCATCGGCAAAACCCGCAGCCAGTTGACCCCCGTGCACATGAGAAGTCGACTACAATGACAAAATTAAACCGATTAACAAAATTGTACTTTTCATCTTTACCTATCACAAAAATCTCACTCTAGACCAGTCCAGCAGAATGGCTCGAGAGATTAAGAAGCAACGGTGATTTCCTCATGTTCTTTACAAGTTTGAAGCACCATTTGTGCATATACGAATCCCCTTTGTTACATTGTTTCTTCTTCATATTGCCTAAGATCATGTCCAAAGGGTATAGTCCAAAGAAAAAAAGTGAATATTTCTGCAATATCCTGGTTGGTCCATACAGAATGGTAATATATCTGGATAACCTTCCCTCTCTTTCAACATTACCAAAAACGCCCTTTCTAAGCCAAAAACATGATAGCCAAGAGCGTGTCGCAGCAAAAGTATTTCCAGACATCAAGAGTTCATGCATTTATCATGCCCTCAACTATAACCAAATCCATCATCAGAAGGCAATAATAGACAAATAAATATGATCATATTGTGGCTTCGAAATCGAAGAAAGCCTGTATGTTTAAAGAAAATAGAAGTCCATGAAAGCAAACTTACAAGTGTGGTGACAGCACAATCCGAGAAAGATGGAATAGAATTGACGAGCTGTTCTTTCTCCAGGTCCCAAAGCATGATAGATGGCATTTCCCCGGATGCATACTGCAGCAGCAAGGCAATACATCATATAAACAACAGCCAGTTTCCTAACCCAAAGAGAAACTTTGCATATTGTGATTGAAACAAGCACGTACCAGATAACCAGATTGCTGTTGCCAATCAAAAACAACATTCAAGCCACGTGCACTGGGCTTGTTACCCTGGATTGACGAAAACGCAGTAACAAGCTTTTGTTTACCCTTTGTCATGTAATCTCTCCATATCCGAATACTTCCATCACCTATATGCAAATTCAAAAGCCCATGTAAGACATAAATAGCATGCTTTAAACAGCCATAACCAAATAATTCCCAATGACTCAGAAGACAAAATTTGTGAGAGTTACATGAAGCAACAAGTAGCAGACAGTCATCAAGCTCATTGATCAGGAACATCTTTGAAATTCCTTTGTCAGGAAAAGCATGATTGTCAAAACCATTGAGAAGAGTTGCTTCCTCGTAATTCCACACCCTGGGAGGGAAGACCTTGAAATGATTAGTCCAGCAGAAGCATTAAGACAACAAAGGACGTAACAAGAATATCAAATTGTGATGATGTTCCATGAAGATTCTAACACCCTCATGATGATATTAGATAGAGGCATCCGGTCCAAGAAATCAAAGATTCGTGAAAATAAAGAGTGAACGTGTATCTTTAAGATGTTAAGAAACTTGAGATGAGGGACAATCTAAACTCCAAAGTTTAGCCAAGGTCTGAAAACTTGCATACCTGATCCGTTCACTTTCATCTGCAGCAATTACGATTGGAGAAAACGGGTGAAGAAGGGTTGTCTTAGTTCCCGTTTCAAACTTTGTATCCCAGTTCGCTATAGGATTATTGTTGAGCTTGCTAATAGCTGGCAAAGGGGGGAAAAGTTGGGATACAGCTTAAGTTACTAAAGTATAAAAGAATGAACAGAGACAGACAAGGAAAAATGTCTTACAAGAATGCTGGCATTTTGCAATATGCTCAAGCGCAAATTTTTCCTTCTCTTCTCTTCTGGTTGCTATCATTTCACTGTCGTCAGCTCCACCAAGAAGTGGTTTAGAGAAGTGACCACAACTCCAATTATAAATAGTTGATTGTGGAAGCAAACTTCTTTCAGATCCACTGGCTCCTAAAAGCGGATCAGCCAATCCAGAATCTGGAGAACCCATGAGATGCGGCCTGAACTCTAGTGAACAAACTCTCCTTAATCCTGCTAAGTAGCTTGTCCTAGGAGGGCTCACAGGAGGAGTCCTAAATGTTAAGGGCAGGTGACCTGTCAATAATTGTTTAAGATCAAAACTCACTAAGAATCAACAACGAATGGTAGTGTAAAGCAACTGCGCTTGGAATAAATAGATGATTGAAAAAATCTCCATAACCAGCTACCTGCATGCATATCAAACCATGATGATGAACGAGTAAGGCCAGCGAGAGGGGTGTGAGATGTTCTGGCTTCACCCCGTCGGCCACTGGGATTTGAGGTTTTTGCGGCAACTTGCTCAATCCCAATAATAGACAAAACACGCCGTCCAAGGGTTTCAATACGTGGAGATGGGTCTTTGGCTAATGTAAACATCGCTAGAACACACTGTGAATAAACAGCATTGTCCAATGCTCTAGGCGGATGGACAACTCCATTGCTGACACCATCATGAATGATTCCAGTATCAGAATGTTGTGAAGAATCATCAGATAATGGTGACCCATGCATGAGCCCGGAAGAACCATGTGGGCTGCTTGATGAGGCCCTTGACTCACGAAGTACTGGTTGGCTCTCACTGGTAACCCTTGTCACAGGACTCGAGTGTGAAGAAACAATCGTTGCAGTCCCAGCATCGTGAATCTTGGCCAATGAAGGGAATGAAGCCAGTAAAGAACTTGACTGAGGCTTCCAATATGAGGCGGCAACTGCCTTTAGGTGCTGTTTGTGGCCAAAGGCAAATCGTGCAAGAGCTGCAGACACAAGATCGCATAGAATTTAAATCAAAAGGTAACAAATAGGATAAGTTGTGAATACACAGCAGGCTTAGCTCCAAGACAAACATATGCATAATAAACAAGATCATTTCATGCAAAAAGAAAAAACAAGACAAGCCTTTAACAATGTAAAAAGCTAAGAAACATTTTCTTTCCATCAAGGAACTATATCGTTTCAAGGATGTCAATATAAGTTTATTAACACTGTATTAAGTTAAGTTTATTTCTAGATTAATTTAGACCATGGAAGTCAACAAATTAATGACTAATGTATCAAATATCAATCAATAGAATATAGCTACACACCTACATCGGGAAAACTTTAACTAGATCAGAAGCATTTTTTTTATGTGAAGTTAGATGACATTAGGATCAAGGGATCCACCAAAATTGTGAATGCTTAAGGATACATGCTTTCCATACCTACAGCAACCTCTGCCCTGACAAGCGGGCTCCCATCAGAAACTACGTTTAAGAGACTTTTGATAATAGAATCTTCTGTTCTAATCTTTTCATCATCATCAAATTCATCATCACCAACACTTTTACCAGTGTCAAATCCAATGTCGAGTAAGGTACTGAGGGCGAAAACGGCAGCAGCCCTAACCTGGACAACAATGATGTTGTTTGCAGTTAGACTGCTCCAAAGGGTAAATTACAAAAAAGCTGACAAGGCAGTTAAGGTCAAGAATAAGATAATTTTGCACCTCTGGTTGCGGTTCAGAGAGAAGAGGAGCCAATCTAGCAACAGAATTGGCCTCCCGACCCATTATCTGGGCCTCTGCAAAATCTTCCCACAACTTCCCAAGACAAAGACAAATCCATTGCACAAACAAAGGTTCTAGGGATGGATCATTTGGTCGGGGTGCTTCAAGGTGCCCCAGACACACACTGATTAAATTAGCTTCAAGACAAGCTTCCTGGCCACGTCTATGGCCATCCACAATGACAGCCAAAACAAAGGCAGCCATAGCCCGCTGTTCTGGAAATGCACCTGAGCTATCTAAAAATCTGATGAAGTATGCATGGCCACCATCCTTCACAAGATCAACCTGACATGACTGAAAGAAAGAGACATCTCTCAGTTATCTTATCAGTGCTGAGAATGCGAGAGATAACATAAAGAAGAATAATAGAAAGGAGAAAAAAAGGTGGAAGGCATGTATTGTAATCATAATCAACCTGCATTGGTATTAGTGAACAGGATACAACATACAGGCAAAAGTATCAAATGGAAAATGTATGGTATTTGTCGTTAGTCTAAGGATAATCTCATAAACCACACAATACTTTCGCATGTTAGGCCAAAGGAATAAAGTGAACATCAACAATCTAGCACGAAAGGAACCAGAAAAGATGAAGTTAAACCTAACAGCAGAAGTGTTGCAAACAGCCAGTATGTTCCAATCAATAGCCCTTGAAACACCAAATTTGTACCTTGTCGAGTGCAAGAATCTTTGTCCATATGAAAACAAGAATCTGTCGCAGCTCATTTGTAGTTGTTGGCAAAAGCTTCAGAACATACGGGAATATTCCAACAGATAAGGCCTAAAAGAATAATATTCATTCAACATGTGAAGAGATATACACGAGAGAACCAGGAAAGGACTGTCCAAGCTCGAGGGAATAAGTGGGAGTTCAAATCATAGACTTATACCAGATCTACAGCCCAAGGACCCATATCAAGAAAGCGTCCGAGAAGCACAAGAGCACGAAACCGATGACATTGACTAAGTAAAACCTGAAACAAACATAATTAGACTCAGTAAATAAGCTCAAATGTTACTCTGCAAATATATATATGACGGAATGGCCATATGAAGCCAATAAATTTTCCTTAGGTCATTTCCATACAAAAACATCGTGGAATGAATTAACATGATTATGCTCTCTTATTCAAAGCAAAAGGTTGTAATATAGGGAAAACAGACATAATGGTTAAAGATGAAATGTTTACCAAAAAAGGAAAAACCAAAAACTAGCTGAAAAATAGTGGAGACATATATAGAGCTCAGGCAGCACCTGAAGAACAATTGGCAACTGCTCCGGTGGCTTCTTATGTTCCGATCCATGGTCAAGCCACACTTCAAAAGCCATCAGTTGCTCAGTAAAAAATGGACTTGGCTAAAAAAAGGGAAAGGGAAAAGTATATCATCAACAACATAGGTATAACCTTATACGATTAAATAGGAATTATCTATAGAACCCAAACCTGGAACTCTGCATTCGAGTCCTGAACTAATTGAGGAAGCTGAGAAAGGCAGATTTCAGCAGCCATGTCCCATGCATCCCTGACAAACATGCAGCAACTAGCTGAGGATAAAACCTACATGCAGGCATTCTATCAACATCAACATCGCCTTAATGCCGAGTTTATTTGGGGTTGGCCGCATAAATTCATCGTTTCCACTCATTTCGATTTTGAGTTAAATCTTTTGAGATTTGCAACAACTTCAAGTCATTACAACCACTCGTTCCCAAGTGAGTCTAGGTATACCCTCCCTTTCCTCCTCACTTCCATTCCTATGCTCTCTATTTATCTAACCGGAACATCTATTGGCCTACGTTTTACATATCCAAACCACATGTAAAAATATGCATTCTATCTAACTGCAAAAATAGGCATCTTTTTCAGTACCACATATGATGTTGATGCGTAGGTGGCAGCATAGGGTGAGATATTGGAGAACAATTTGCGGAGCGCATGATCCTCTCCGCAAGTAAGAAATTCCGGAAAAGGCTTGCAACCAACAAGTCCTGTCTGAATAATCTCTGGAAAAGATCTGCAACGTAAAACTAGCATTCAAGACATAAAGAATGACAAACAAGAAGTTTGAGCTAAAGAGGTCAAACCTCTATGCATTGCCGAAAGTTTAAAGAAATACCACGGGGAAGAACATTCCAAGCAATAGTATCCGTCACTGCAGTGAAAATCCAGTTCAACTCTCCCAGCACTGTTTTACGGTCATTTTGGCGGCCAGGAATTCTGTCAATGAGTGATTCGTCGATGATTTCCTTCAAAAGAGAACGCCTGCAAAACCTGCAGAAAAACCGAGCTCCTATAAACTTGGACAGCCAAAAACAGCACGGCTCCAACGAAGCTAAAGCAAAGGCAACAGCATAAATATAATAAACATGACAGAAAACTTACAGATAGATAGAACCTGTAGTGAAAGCTAAAAAATTGTTGAAATATGGAATAAGTAACACCGATTGGATGTTAAGGCTACTAATCAGAATGATATCACGACCTTTTGTTTCATCAGAGCTACTCAGCATCATCATGCACCATGCAAGGACTCGAAAAATCCATGGCAAACCATACGTCAGTCAACTTTACCAATGTAAACCAGTAATTCTGTATGGCCTGACTGAGGCACCCACTAGTTTTAGGTTACACTACTATTCTAATAAAAGGTACAAAAAAACATAATCTAATCACTATGTTTTGGACTTATCCCTGGGAAGCAGTAGGATCATGCTAACAAACTACCTTAAAGCCCCATAAAATTGATACTTCTCTTGCAATCAGGATGCTGTGACGTTTCGAAAAGAAGAAAGGTAACATTCAGACAAACATTAAGAAGAAATCAGAGATGAAAGAAGCTTACCATTTTAACGCCATTTTAATAGGTGTTGTGAGGCAAGAAGTAAACACATCAGCTGGAAATTCAACACTCTGAGGCAGTGTCTCATGTGTTTCACAAGCAGCAAGCAGAATGCAGTCCCTCGAGGAGCCAGAAGAGCCAGAAGAACCCCACTCATGAAGCTGCCAAATAAGAAAATAATATCTGATCATTTTATAAAGACCAAAGACTAAAACAATGCATCATAAATTCAATCCCCAAACTCCACAGAAGACCATATATTATCAGAAAAGTGATGATCATTTTACCTCAGAAAAGGCATTTATAATCATACCAGCAGCAGAGCAGTCAAAAACATAGATCGATGGTGTCTTTAACCAGGAATCAAGCTCACTGATTGGCAAGGGAATATACTGAGTGTAACTCTGCTCAAACACGATGAATCACAATATTGTAACAATCAAAACGAACAGGAACAGAACAGGAACATGATAGAAAGAAATCTGAAAAAATCAAACCTTATTGAACAACCAGATTTCACCATTTGCAGTAGGCTTTGGCACACCATGCCCATTATAGTGAAACAAAACTCTTTCCGTCTTTGCATATTTACGACAAGTCAAACAGAGCTTCCTCACCTCATCTACAGTAGGATCTAATTGAACCTTATAACGAGCCTGACAAAAGTTTACAGATACCGATGAAAAAAGCAACCTTAACAGAGTTACAATCAAGGAAAAGAGAACATTTCTCACCCTTGGTTGCCACCTCTCATATTGAGAGCTCAAGTTTTTGCCAATTGTCTCAAGTGCTTTTGGAGGGGCCATAGAAAATGGATCTGCCATCAAACACGCAAGGCGGGAAATGGAATAAGCAGTAGAGGAAAAGACAAAACACAAAAAAGATTGTAATAGGATTGAGAAAGCCAAGGCGGAACCTATCCAGCATTCCATTCTCGCACAAGGAGATATCTTGATTACATCTGGCGGATCAACACTAATGTTCAAACAGAGAACTAAAGCTACACATCCTGTTTTCATCTGCATAGAAGGAGAATGAGACTCAAAGCACAACAGCTACAGACGAATACCCAGTTTTGGCTAAAGTAGGGGGATACATATAGATTGCTGACAGAAATTTGAGTTCAAATGAATTCAAAACTCATAACACGGGAACATTGGCACTTTGCGCATTTGTAGCTCCATCGCTGACCATGTTCTAAACTAAAACATTAGCATAACCTTCTTAGGATAAACAATCTAAATTATATGACACCACCTAGTAAGCCATTAAAACAGACTGTACAGACAATGTGATCTTTCTAGGTTCTAGCCAATCCTGTGTCGAGAAACGCATTGGTGATAGTAATAAAAAGACGAGAGCAACCTAAATTAGGGATAATGGAAGCAACCGGAGAGCAATCTACCATGATTACATAAATCCAGACAGACTCTCACCAAAATATTGAATACTTACTCGTTCTTTAAGCCTCCATTTCGAGACAAAGCCGCTCCTGGAAGGTCCCAATGGCGAAGATGCCTCGAACGCGTCGTGTCTGAGCTCGCAGAGCACCACAGTTTGAGGCAAATAAGCCATGCTGGTGGTTGTGGTGGAGAAGACGACGGGGGCCGTTGTAGCATTTCCGTAGCTGCTGCTCGCGGCCTCGGAATCCCTCCTACGCGAGGCTAAGGAATAATCACCATCGTCTTGACTGTAAGCGGCAGAGGAGGCGCAGCCATCGTCGTAGTGATGATTGGTAACAACGGAAACTGAAGATTGCGATAACCGAGACACCATCAAGTCCCCTAATGCCATCCAAAACGGAGAAAAAAGAGCACCCCGAAATCCCACAAATCAAATCCTCAGCCCTAGATTTTTGTTCGGATTCGATAAAAACGGAAACAAGAAGACGCGGAGACGGAGAAAGCGAGATCAATCAACAAAGCCGCTGCACCAGCGGCGCAAGGAGATTGAGCGGAAGAAATGCAGAGAATCCAGCTCGAAGAACCCTGGATGGACAGAGAAGCGGAAGCGGAAACCCTAGAGACTCCGGGGAGGAGAAGGACGGGAGATGGCGGCGGCGGTGGTGGACGCGGAGGTGGCGGCACAAAGAGAAAAGGCAGAGAAAGTGACGGTGCGAGAATTGGGATTTCGTCCAGAGAGAGAGAGAGAGAGAGAGAGAGAGAGAGAGAGAGAGTGTGTGTTCAATGTGTAGCGTTTTGTTTGTTCCTTCTCGTTTCCCTTTTTTCGCATCTGGAAATCAAGGAAAATATTCAGGGAAATTCCCAAAAAAATCATATAGATAACTATCACATCCATCACGAACTTTTAAAATTTTTAAATTCATACTGGATTTGAATTTTTTGTCTAAAAAATCATTCGAAATTTAAATTTTAACAAAATCTTCATCGGAACAGAATTAATTTTGTCACGTAGGCATAAAGCGCTTACATAGCGCCTACATGGCATGTACGTGTTCGCCACGTAGGATACACGTGACATTAATAATAAAAAAATTGAAAAAAAATCGAAAAAATGTAAAAAAATTATAAAAAATATGAAAAAATTACAAAAAAATGTAAAAAATGTAAAATTGTAGAAACATTTTCAAAAAATGTAAAAAAATGTAAAAATTATAAAAATTGTAAAAAAATTGTAAAAAATTATAAAAATTGTAAAAAATGTAAAATTGCAAAACATTTTTAAAAAATGTAAAAAATTGTAAAAAATTGTAAAAATTGTAAAAAGTATAAAATTGTAAAGTTCGTGATGAATTTGATAGTTATCTCGTAACTGGATGATTTTTTTTTGAAAATTTCCCTTTTTTAAAAAAAATAAATTAAATTTTTTTAATTTTTTACAATTTGTTTTACATTTTTTTTACAATTTTTACAATTTTTATAATTTTTTGCAATTTTTTTTACAATTTTTATAATTTTTACATTTTTTTACATTTTTTGAAAATGTTTTTACAATTTTTACATTTTTTTTAATTTTTTCCACATTTTTTTTAATTTTTTTTACATTTTTTTCAATTTTGTTTTAATTTTTTATTATTAATGCCACGTGTATCCTACGTGGCGAACACATACATGCCACGTAGGCGCCATGTAGGCGCTTTCTGCCTATGTGGCAAAATTAATCCTGTTCCGATGAGGATTTTGTTAAAATTTAAATTTCGAATGATTTTTTAGAAAAAAATTTCAAATCCAGTATGAATTTGAAAATTTTAAAAGTTCGTGATGAATGTGATAGTTATCTCATAATAGGATGATTTTTTTGGAAATTTCCCAAATATTTATTAACTAAACTAATAAAATTTTGCAACAAACGTAGTTTGAACCCCGAATTTCTGGAGCAAAATTTCCAAAGGTTATTTTGTTTCCAATAATTTTTAAGCAGTTTCCTAATTATCTATTACATAATTGGTTAAATTTTCGAGCACTATCCACGATAAAATACTATATATATATATATATATGAACATAATGAATGTTTTATTCTGCAAGTGCAAATCCTTTTGCCGAATTTGGACCAATTCATTCACATTTCCAAACGGAATGGGCTTCATGAATCATAGAATTATAATTATTGGTTACTAAATCCGTCAACCTGTTGTCATGAAACCCAAATCAGATTTTGTTTAGTCCACTACACTACTGTTTTTATTTTTGCTTTCCATTTGTGGCGTATGTTTAAATGGAATGTTATATCAATTCTTTTTAAAAAATAACATATAAATACCAAAATTTTTATAAAAATACCACATAAATACCTAAACTATAAAGTTTTCATATAAATATTTGAATTTTTAAAAATTCTATATAAATAACTAGACTTTAAAAAAAAATCAAATATATACAAATTTTAGTTATTTTTCAAATAAAAATAGATAATACCATTAACGAATTTTAAATTTTTTTGAGAATTTTTTAGAAATCTAGATATTTATATAAGATTTTAGAAAAATTTAAATATTTATATAAAAATTTTTCATGAAATTTTTAAAAAAATTTAAGTATTTATACGTGATTTTTTCATTCTTTTGCAATCTGCAAATGTACATTTATCTTAAATTTACTAGAAAATGTAATTGTATACGGACATTGCAAAAATGCCAGCCTGGCACACATGCATGTATGAAGTCCATAGCCAGCGACATGTACTAAAGTAGCTTGAGTTACCATTCACCACACAGCCCCACGTTATATCCGAACGGAAATTTTGAGAAAGAGAATCCACATACTAAATTTAGTGCATAAAGCCATTTGAGGCCAACTAAATAAATGGGTAGACCAAAAGGGGGGTTTCAGAATTGCCTGAAAGTAAGGTTGAGGCGTCCGGTCCGAAGTTTAGAGTCGCAGAGCAAACGCTTGGGCGCAGAGTGAGGAACGACAGACTTAACGCCATGGAAGACGAGCCTTGACTCGCCGCCGAATATCAACACATCTCCTGACTCGAGCGTCACTTTCTCAGCTCTTTCCACATCTCTGTGTTCCCCGTACAAGAACTCTGCCGAATCACCTATCGAGAAGGATACAATGGGCAACCCCTTCTTTATGCTCTCTCTGCTCTCATCCCTGTCCTGCATTCCAATTGGACATAGGGGAGATGAATGTCTAATCAAAGTGCAAATGTACATTCAAGGTACGCACCTGATGGAGGCCGAGCCTTCCAGTAGCTGTGTAGAAGTTCACTATGCAAATGTCTGGAGACATTTCCGGAATTACACTCTCAGCATCTTCAGCTCCAGAACCCACTTTTGCAAGAGCAGACGCATCACTAATTGCCTGTTGAACCAATGCGACAAACTCATGAGGAATATCAGGTGGTTTACAATCCATTCCAGCACGTTTAACAGAGTATTTTGTCTCGGGATCCCAATTGAGACCGAGGCACATCATCTGCAAACAAAGCTTTCGACCGTCCCTATAACCAGGCCGATAGAACCCTCCTGGCCCAACACCAAGTCTTCGGCAAGTCTCAACTATATCCACCTGACGCAACAGACACGAAAACACTGTCACAGATGATGCATTCAACTACAAAAATTACAGCACACACATACTCCTTTTCACGTGAGTAATAACATATACCTGCTCATCATGTGTAAGATATTGTTTAAGCAGAACCATTCCAGGCCTTAGAATTTCTGGACTGCTGATAACTTCAAAGCCTCGCTCTGTTTCCGTAACGTGGCTCCCTTTTCCCACGCTTGCATTTCGTCCACCTCCAGGGACACAAATGTCAAACGGCAAATTTGCTCTCCGCATGGGATTTTGGTGCCTCTTCTCACCTCCAGACCTCCAATGATCCCTCCTTGACGATCTAAAACCCTCACGGCTTTTCCGATTTGTAGACCGTGAATCCTCCGACAGAGCTGGGGTTGCATCCTGTATCATTGTCAGGCCAAAACCATCGTCAACCACACCCCTACACTTGCCATAGTCCTTGTGTCCAGATCCTGTACAAGCGCCAAGCTCTGGGAATTCGACGTCATAGTCACTGATCTTTAAGGGTTTTCCTGAGTCAACACCACCTGCTGCCACACTGGATTTGCCTTTACCAGCAATCCCAAAAGAATCCACCTTTGAACTATCAGAGATGACGGAAACAGTAGACGCATCCTGTTATATAGAATTAACAAGAACAAAATGCGCTCTTTAGATGCCAATCTGAATTGAGATACAGTGCTTCAACTGACCACATCCTACAAATAGAGATCTTGGATATGAACTATACAGCCTACCAAACTCCTGGTGGAATCATAATCCATACACTACTAAATGCGCAACTCTTAATAGTTAAATTGGGGAGGCATAATAACACAAAAACCGAAAACCACCTATGCTATGATAGATGAACCAGAATATAAAACTTGAGGCAGCGACCCATTTCATGGCTCAAAGAACGGATGATTCCCACGAAAAGCTGCTGTAGATATATATCATACAACCCTAAACTCGGACCAGGGTTCAATTCTCCGACAGAAACGGCAAAACACGGCATCCCGAGAAAATCATGTGGAGTGAACACTCAAAACGTAACGAGTTCATCCGACAACAAATTCCGAGTTCGGTGGAAATAAAACAGCTTACAAGGTGGCTTGGAGCCGGAGAAGGGTCGGAGGAGACCCGAACCCAGCGACGGACCACACGAGGACGGCCCATTGAATGCGGAGAGCAAAACCAACGGATAAAGAGGCGGCAACGGAGAATAGACGGAGGAGAGAGACGGCTCATGAGAAGCGTCCTTTTGTAGGGAGCGAGAGGTAGAAGAAGAGACGGTGGAGACGAAGACGAAGAGGCAATCGAATTTAGTTCGACTTTTCATAAGCACAGATGAATCGATCAATGATGTACATGAACTCAATAACGAATTATATTCAAAGTTAAATCCGTCTTATACAATATGTACGCTTCTCTAACATACCCGTCTTTTACATGTTGATAAGAAAGGTAAGGGTTAAATTTATAAATATATATTGTTTCTTAAGATTAAATCCCATTTATTTACCAAACAATCCTCCTCTATTAAGCAAGAACAAGGACAACCTCACATGCATGTTAAACGATCTTCTGTTTAATTTTATAGAGATATTATTGAAACTAGCTTTACAAGTGGGCCCAAAGGGGACAATGGGCCAGTTTTCGTGTAAAATGGCTATATCATGACAAATGAATTTTTGCAACAATTTGGAGTTTTTCTTTTCCTCTATTACACGTCTCTCGGTTCGGTGGCACAGGTATTTTTTGCGTCTTCAAATAGCGCGAGCATCGAAGATCTGGGTCCTCCAGTTTTCTCGATCAAATTGCCAAAACCTCTCCAACTTCATCTCGATTCCGTGTAAGGCCCTTTTCTCGCGATCTTCTGTTTGCTTCTTTTCTACTTTGGCTTCTGTTTCTGGTCGTTTTCCCCAGGGTTCGTCATCAGGATGTGAATTCCTGCATAATTCTGGGAAATTCCAATCTTCTCTTCTCTTGTACTTTGGGCGCCTTTGATATTGTTACCGGATTTTGGTATATTGCTTTGGTATTTCATCTCTTTTCGGCGGTTGATTTTGAATGATAGATGTGCAAAACCTAAGTTTCCAAACAAAGATGTTTAGGTTTAGAACCCTTTGTATGATTCTGTATCACGGAGAGCTGAATTCGAACCAGCTGGTTGTCTGAATTCAGGAACCCATGATTCTGTGCAGATAATTTGCTTTGAATTTTTTTTTAATATCTCCTTAGGTAATTCAGCGAATGGGAAATCTATGAGATCGTGTAATATAATATATATATATATATATATGTATATATGTATCTGTCGCTTGTTTTGATTCTCATTCGAAATGGATATAGTTTCAGGCATCATGGGGAATAGAGTTGGATTTATATTCCTTTTCGCCTTGGGGCTGATCTGGGCTTGTGATGCCAGACAAATGTTTGCTTCCGAGGCATCTGGTAAGGACATGCTTTTATGCTCCATAACTATGTCTTTCTCTCTGGTAAAGGCGTTGGTCCTTCTTCTGCAGCGGCATGTTTAAATGTCGAAAGAAAACCCGATTGAAATCTACAAAAATGTGGATTAAGTATTATTACATGCTGGAGATATGGCAGTTTTCGCCATTCAATCTTTATTATCATTTAAAATTAAGAAATCCATATTTCTTCTATAACCTGCCCATCCATTAGGAGACCCTGCCGGGTTAAACAGCATACATATTGTTCAAGGAACTCAATCAAAGAGGAAACACCGCTGACATTGATATAATACTGACTATGTTATTTTCATTTCTTTGTTGATTCTTCAGGAGAGTCTCGTGGCGATGACATCTGTGGGCTGTGCGGTAAGTATGTTACTCCGGCATTTGAATACCTCGAAGACAAGGATACTCAGACTGCAATCGTTGAAGCCCTTCACACAACCTGCTCGATGATCCCTCCTTTTAAGAACCAGGTCTTAACATTATGATATTAGTTTAGTCTTCTGTTTCTAACTTTCTGTACGTATGTTAACCCCAAGTTTAATGCTTGATGCAGTGTCTTTCAATGGTTGATGATTACACTGAACATTTTTTCATAAAGCTCTCGCAAATCCAACCAGATGAAATCTGTAGAAAGCTTGACCTTTGTGAAGCAGTGGCTGCCTTTGCTTCAGAAGCCCGTCAAGGAAACTGCGAGGCATGCCATGATACTGTTTCGGAAGTTGTCGCCAAACTGAAAGATCCGGAGACAAAGGTTCTACCTTCTGACCTTCAAAACCTTTTATGAATACTAATTGACGCATGTGACCTGGATAGTGGATCCCCATTTCGGTCTCATCTTAGGGTGCTGAGTTAAATGTTGGTGCATTAGTTTCAGTAGAGAAGACTCTATTTGTTAAGATTGTGACCCGAATTCCATTTTGGGTTTTGGACATAGTTACATATGGTAACTATCAATTTTGGGTTTCCACGTAAATCCCTATCTCATTTACTTTTCTTATTCTTCTCTTTATCGTTTCTTCATACCCATCCCGATTTATTTCCGCCGCGTGAAACTCTAACACTAATAATAACCCATTGGGCATATCCTAGCTTCTACCTGTAGGCAAACCTCTTCGAATAGCTCTCAAACGCTCAGATTTTTTAATGCTTCTTTATAGTTATGATAAGAAAGATCATTCTGCTCAGTAGTGGGGAGTATGAAAAAGACGAGTTTATATGATTATTGATCCTTGGGCTGCCCCCTCCAACCCTGACCCTGACGGCTGTAGTTTCCATCCCTGATGGACTCTTGTCTCTGCTCGTCCTGGCAAACACTGTTGTTTTCTCACCCTGCAGCTAAATTTTGTGGGCGGTGCATAGTTGCTTGGTATCAGGAAATTTAATCCTTGCAAGAGATCTAATGGACTTGACTGACTTTGGCAGCTAAAGATAATTCGTCTACTTCTGAAGGAATGCAAGTCCTTGGACAACTACCAGGACAAGGTACCACATACCACCAGAAGAAGACATTCATAACTGTAATAGTAATTCCACCCCATTAAATGTGAGTCTAATATTTGAAGTGTGAGAGAACTTTTTGTGGGTGCAGTGCAAGAAGATGGTGTTTGAGTACGGGCCTCTGATACTTGCGGATGTGCAGAAGTATCTGGAGAAGACTGACCTCTGTGCTCTCCTTCATGTATGCCCTCCTCCCTCTGTTTCACACCCTCTCCTGTCTCTGCCTCTAGCAGATTCGTAGTCATAATGACCCATGCCTTCTTCATCTTCGTCATCGTGCTTGGTATATATCTGTCGTCAGACCTTTGTATTGCGTTTGTGGCTATACTCGTGTGTGTATGTATGTACATGATCCCATTTGAATTGTCTATTTCCTCTTATTATGCATTTGACTCGCCTGAAGTTTTTCAGCAGTAATATTGTATCTTTTAATTCTATTGGTAAAGAAATTGAGGCCTAAACCAAGCAGTTACAGAGTGTAGAGGAGGATTTCCTCGAACCAGGTCCATCATTTGAAAGAAATAAGGCAAGCATGGTTAGGTTTCCGTATTGTGCATTGTGGTATGATCTGGGTTTGTAACACTGCACTGATGCGGTTCAG